AGAAAAAGTAGAATTGGGCTGAAAGATCTATCACTTTATCACCTATTCAGGTTGTAAATCGTGTTTTTAAAAAGTAACTAAGTATTTAATTACTTTTGAAAAGGTAATCAGTAAAGTAATGGATTACTTTTTGGGGAAAGTAATCAGTAATTAGTTACTGATTACTTTTTTCAAGTAACTTGACCAACACTGGGTGTGACCCAATAGACCAGCAAGCTCCAGTAGTTCGCTAAGGAACGTGCAAAATGATGTTGCTTAGAGCTTAATAATCCACACTGCAGGTACAAATCAGTGCTCAAAGAGATATAAGGTTTATGTTGAAGAGAAATTCTGATTTGATTAGATCATTAGAACAGTAATAAATTAATGTCAATCCAAAATTAACATTGGATTAAAGTGTAAAATTGAAATAAAAACAATGGCGTTATTTGCATATCTCAAAGACCCATATTTTATTCCCAACAGAGCAAAGAAAAAAAAAGATCAGCTCATTTTGAATTTCATGGCAGCAACGTGTGGAAAAAACTGAGATGTGGCAACAAAAGTAAACAGTATTAAAAAGAAACAGCTGGTTAACTGGCAGCAGGTCAGTAACATGATTGGGTTAAAAAAGAGCATCTTGGAGAGGCAGAGGTTCACCAATCTGTAAAAAAAAACACTTCTACAAATTGTGGAACTTCAAAATGATGTTCCTCAATCTAAAACTGTCATCGACAGTATCAAAAGATTCTGACAGGAAATCTGCGTGTGCAAGGGACAAGGCTTGAATCAAGGCCGGGGCGACACTGAAGCAGACCCAGCCAAGAGCAGTAATCCCTCCGGTGTGTCTCAGAGAGGGCCGGGTATCGTCACTACAATCGATTCGATTCTGATTCACATGGTCCCAATTCGATCCACAATTTCAATTCGATTCGGGGAAATTTTGACTCAGACAGTCAGAAATATTATAATTCTGATCCTTTATCAGTAAGGACACTCGTGAGACTTCATGAGAGGTGTGAGCATCACAGCAGATTCCTTTGTGTCAAAGTAACTGAGGATAAAACAGAAAAACATGAAGGAGATTTTCCTGGTCTGGGATTTTACAGCAATGACCTTAAAA